CCGGCCCTCCAGGACCGAGTTTGGGCACCCCTGGTTTAAAGAATGTTGGTAACCAAACAGTTGCCAGCAGCCACTGACTTCCATAGTATGTTTTCCCTACTATGGAAGTCAATGGCTACCAGCAAATGTTTGGTTACCCATTTTTTTCAAAATATCTTCTTTTGTGTTCAACAGAAGACAGAAGTCCATACAAGTTTAGAACAACATGAGGTTGACTTAATGACCAAATAATAATAACAAAAAAAATTGGCTGAACTTTAAACCAGTGATTCCAAAGCATTTTTTTGTGAGCTGAACCACTTTGACCTAAAATATTTATTTCAAGTATCTCCTCAGATTTTAAGTTAATGTTTCAATAATTTAGGAAAACATTCACATGGTTAAAGTTCAGTTAATGACTTCAGTTAATGTTTACATGACATGCAGGAAAACAAACATTTTTTAAGTATTTTTTTATGGTTTTTATTTACAAAAACAACATTTTTACAGTTTTATAATTGTATTAATCAGTTTTTCATCAAGTCGTAAACCCCTTGCAGTTTCCTCACAAACCCCAGTTTGGGAAACCCTGCATTACTAAATGGAAGGTGTCTTGACTGAATCAATTACAAGTAAGAAGATTGCCATTGATGCTCCAGGTGACCTCAGGGCTGGGAATGCCATCAGCCATACATTCCAGTTTGACGGTCTCTCCCGGGGCATATAGCTGGCTCTTTGGTTCTTTAGTCCAATATGGGGCAGCTAGACCGCAACAAAACACAAACTAATCACGAAAAGTTTCAGCCAACAGTTATATACAACCTTCTGAAAGGGAAGCGAGGTAGCAAAAATGACAAGCCATGGATAAATGGCAGCAAATGTTTGGTTACCCATTTTTTTCAAAATATCTTCTTTTGTGTTCAACAGAAGACAGAAGTCCATACAAGTTTAGAACAACATGAGGTTGACTTAATGACCAAATAATAATAACAAAAAAAATTGGCTGAACTTTAAACCAGTGATTCCAAAGCATTTTTTTGTGAGCTGAACCACTTTGACCTAAAATATTTATTTCAAGTATCTCCTCAGATTTTAAGTTAATGTTTCAATAATTTAGGAAAACATTCACATGGTTAAAGTTCAGTTAATGACTTCAGTTAATGTTTACATGACATGCAGGAAAACAAACATTTTTTAAGTATTTTTTTATGGTTTTTATTTACAAAAACAACATTTTTACAGTTTTATAATTGTATTAATCAGTTTTTCATCAAGTCGTAAACCCCTTGCAGTTTCCTCACAAACCCCAGTTTGGGAAACCCTGCATTACTAAATGGAAGGTGTCTTGACTGAATCAATTACAAGTAAGAAGATTGCCATTGATGCTCCAGGTGACCTCAGGGCTGGGAATGCCATCAGCCATACATTCCAGTTTGACGGTCTCTCCCGGGGCATATAGCTGGCTCTTTGGTTCTTTAGTCCAATATGGGGCAGCTAGACCGCAACAAAACACAAACTAATCACGAAAAGTTTCAGCCAACAGTTATATACAACCTTCTGAAAGGGAAGCGAGGTAGCAAAAATGACAAGCCATGGATAAATGGGGAATTAAAAGCAGCATTGAAGAAGAAAAAGCAAGCTTTTCAGACAGGTGATAGAGCACAGGTTAAAGTAATGCAAAAAGCTTTTACCAAGCAATAATACACTAATAAGTTCACACTGTAACTCTTGCCTGAGATTGTTCAGTTTAATTTTAAGTTTTTTTTGTTTTTGAAGTCATCCTCCCATAGATGTTCGCAAGTTCACACCCCACATCTAAATCTAAATCTGGAGAGGATGTGATCTGGCAGTGTGAAGCATACAGTACCTTCTACAGTGACGCTGTAGGTGTGAGTGATTATGCCTTGCAGATTTGTGGCGGTACACTGGTACTCGCCGCTGTCAGACTCTGAGATATTCTTAAAGCGCAGAACTCGATCATAACTATCTTTGGATGTGCGGGACTCAGACAGGACTCCATCTTTCCTGATCCACTGGATATTGGGAGAGGGGCTAGTGAGTAAGAGAGAAGGATGTAAACATACTGGACACTTTTCAAGGAAGTAACTCTCAAAGACACACAGTCAGAGCAGGTTTGACTTACAGGCCCTGAACAATGCACTCCAGGTCCAGGTTTTGGCCGCTGAGCACCAGGTAGGAGCTGCGGGAGCCAGTGGGTCGCATCATCTGTGGTCTTCTGTTACGCACCACTGAGTTAGCTACAGATACAGACAAAGACGGAATTATTGAGGGAAACGAGGAGAGAGGGCATGGTAAACAATTACAGCTGCAGTAAGTGGGTGTTCACACAGGACTAAGACTGGGCAAAACAGCTTAATATCTCAACATTTTTTATGACATTAGACAGATAGACAGAATGAAAAACAAAAGAATGATAAATAAATAAATGGACAGACGGATGGATGGATGAATAGATGGATGGATGAATAGATGGACAAACAGAACAAAAGAAAAGATGGATGGATGGATGAACAGACAACAAAAGAAACAATAAATTAATGGACAGAAAGAACAAAAGAAATGATGGATAGATGGATGAATCATGATTAATGGACGGATGGACAGACGGAAAAAGGGAAAAGATGGATGGATGGATAGATCCGTCATGGATGGATGAACTGATAGGAAATGGATAGACAGAACAAAAGAAACAATAGATGGATAGATGGATGGATGGATGGACAGACAACAAAAAAACATGGATGGATGGATCATGATGAATGGACGGATGGACAGACTGAGCAAAGAAAATATGGATGGATGGATAGACAGACAGGATAAAAGAAAAATTGAATGAATGGACAGGCAGAACAAAATAAACAATGCACGGATGGATCATTATGAATGGCCAGATGGACAGACGGAACAAAAGATAGATAGATAGATAGATAGATAGATAGATATGCAAATTAACCACTGAATGAAACAAAAGTAACTTTTTGCTTTTATGACTGCAAAAACAGATGGATTGGGAAACAAATTACGCTCTTTATGATATGAAGATATGGCAAATTCAACATGCATAAATGATCTATATCACCAGCAAAATCATTTTAAATTCATTGTGAATATCCCATATTTTGCCCATCCCTACACAGGACCTTTTCTTTCACTCCATCTGTTCTGTTAGTCTATGTGTATATATACACCAAACGAACATCTTTGGTTTCACTGAGTCTCACTGTTTGTCAGTGTTTTGCATCATTGGCATTGCATCTTAAGACATTTTAAAAAATAACTCAATGTCTTGCTCGTTCCCCTCTGTTCAGGCTAAAAGTTTTTAAGGGCAAGCAAAGGTAGGTCAAGGACAGCCAGCATCCTGTCTTGATGCTTACAGGGGACAACAGTGAGTTTGATGGGCTCTTTGAGGACGATGATGCGCGCGCTGGGGAACTGAGTGTTGCAGGTGTAGTCCTCTCGACTGTCTGCCACAGTCACATGAGAGAAGTACAAGTTTCCATCGCGACCCTGAATCACACGCTCGTTTTGCTGAATGTGCCGCAGCTCTAAGAGAAAAAGACGTAGACATAGATGCATATATATAGATATTGCTGAGATATGGTTCATGTTTAACATGGATAAATCAGGATAAAAACAGACTAACTCTTGTCCATCCAGTGGATGACCGGAGCCACAGTGCTGTTAGGAGGATTACAGGGAAGCACCACACTCTCTCCATCCTCCACCTTCTTCGTCACCTTCTTCTCCTTCTGTAGAGTGGGAGTGTCTGCAAGAGAACAGAGAAGAGAATTAATCAAAATTGTACTACCGTTAAAAGTTTTTTTTAATGCTCACCAAGGCTGCATTTATTTGATGAAAAATACAGTAGTTAAAATAACTAATTTCTACTGTAATATATTTTAAAATGTATTTTATTCCTGTGATGGCAAAGCTGAATTTTTATCTTCCATTACTCCGGTGTCTCATGATAGTTTGGAAATCATTCTGATATGCTGATTTGGTGTTCAAGAAACATTTCATATTATTATCAATATTGAAAACATTTGTGCTGCTTAATATTGTTGTGGAAACCCTTATACAATTTAGTTTTTCAGGATTATTTTATGACTAAAAAGTTCAAAAGAACAGCATTACAGGATTATTGTAGTTCACTAAAACTAAAACCATAAAAACTCGCATTACATGAAATAAATAAATAACTTTAACTGAAATTAAAAATTTTAAATATAATAAAACTTGAACTTATAATACATATATAAAAAACTTAAGCTTATTTTATTTTAGCTAGTTGCCAAGGCATTCTCATTTTCATTTAATATTATGTACTAAAATAACTAAAAATATAAACTAAAACTTATACAGTATATATACACACACACAATTACAAAAACACAATATAATCACTAAAAAACTAAATTTCCAGGGACTACGGATGTAAAATAGCCTTGGCTAATTCTGGTACATTTACAGGAATGTTTTATTAATGTACAATGTCCCTGTCAACTAAATAAATAAATTAATTAATTAAAACGAAAATAAAAACAGAAAATACAAACAAATCTCAAAACATTAATAAAATCTATAATAAAAAAACTCAATGATACACACACATAAACAAACACACACACACACACACACACACACACACACACACACACACACAATTAAAAACGAATACAAATTCCAAAAACACACAATAAAACAATCAAAAAACGTAAATTAATTAAAATGTAAAAAAAAAACAGAAAATACAAATAATTTCAAATTTTTTATAAAATCTATAACAACAAATCAATCATGCTAAAATAACACTGCAGCACTGATTAAAAAAAGAAATCTTTTGTAACATTAAAATGTCTTTATTTTCACTTTTGATCAATTTAATGTAACCGGACTAAAATTATTAATTTCTTAAAAAAAAATTTTTTTTAAAAACTTTTAGCTGACCTTAAACTTTCAATCTCAGTTGTGTATGAAGAAGTTTTAAAATCACAGTTTACAACACAATTTCAGATACATTTTATCTTGTGAGAAACCGGAGTGTGTTAATTAGCTAGCAAGTAATTATCCACAGCACAGCTGACGAAACAAATGAACACCAGAATGCAATTAAAAACTACATAACTAGTCCAACATTATTCAGAAGATGCCTTGGCTTGTCATGATATGAAATAGGTGTGTGATGATGCACATATTAATGTGGCCAGCCCCAGCTGCGAGTGGAGTTCATAATATGTGGGCTATTGTTAGCCCCGCTCATGCTGAGTACTCTCACTTCCTGCACATATTAATCTCACGAGTGGTCGTCCCCGCTGACACACTTACACGACTCGCACTGGTTTCTGAGGTAACCGTTGTCAGGGAAACTGGCAGAGAGGTCGGGATAGCGTAAAGGAGACAGGTAGATTGCTAGATAGCTAGTCAAAACAATTGTTTTGTTGTTGTTTTTCCGTACAAAGTGTTGTTTGATAGCTAATTGGGAAGCAATTGGGGATTTTTATTCATTCGAACTGCTAGTGTGACTGGCACACACAATGAGCTGTAATTTTCCTCTAAATGTAATTTTGTGCGTATGACACAACAGGGGGCAGGGGGCTTGATTTTGGGCTGTTATCTGCTGCACGCCAGATTTTCTCTACAGAAAACTCACTGCATGTGGTAACGTCAGGATATCAAACAGGCAGTCATAAGTGTGTCGCTTTATAATGTTGCAGTGATGAGAGCGACTTACTCTCTGTGACAATGCGAGCCTCTTTAGACATCGCCGTGCCGAGAACGTTAGACGCGTAGCAGTTGTATCTGCCCTGATATTGGTGAATGGGTCCATCTTTGGCTGTCAACGAGAAGGTCCCAGAATCTCTGGACACGGAGAGTTCAGGGTCTTTAGAGGGGTCAAACTCCACACCATCTTTCACCCAGCGGAACCTAGCAATGAAGCAGATAAGAAATAAATAACAGTCATTTTTAACATGACAGAGAAAAATAACATCCTTAAATTAAATTGCTATAGCAATAAATCATTTTTTTAAATTAATAATAAAATATATCTAAAAACTGTTCAACAGTTTGGTGAAAGTAATTAAAAAAAAATGTTTTTTTAAAGGAATTATTAGCTACTAGCCTACTACTGTTCAGGAAGGATGCATTCAATTGGTCAAAAGTGACACTAAATACATGAATATTGCTACCAAATACATGAATATTGCTACAAAAGTTTTCTGTTTCAAATAAATGAAACCATATTAGAATGATTTCTGAAGGAGCATGTGACACTGAAGACTAAAGTAATGATGCTAAAAATTCAGCTTTGCCATCACAGGAATAAATTACATTTTAAAATATACTACAATAAAAAAAAATATTTTTTCAACAATAAACATTTACTTTAAATTGTAATAATATTTCACCATATTACAGTTTTTGCTGTATTTTGATCAAATAAATGCAGCTTTGGTGTGCATTAGAGACTTCTTTCAAAATCATTAAAAACTCTTATTGACTCCAAACTTTTGAATGGTAGCGTATATAATGTACTAAAATAGAATCTATAATACCTTATAATACACCTTAAAAAAACTTTTTTTAAATAACTGTAACCACATTTACAATATGTGACCGTGGACCACAAAACCAGTCACAAGGTTAAATTTTTTGAATAAATAAGCTTTCCATTGATGTATGGTTTGTTAGGATATGACAATATTAGGCTGAGATACAACTATTTGAAAATCTGGAATCTGAGGGTGCAAAAAATTTAAAATATTGAGAAAATCGCCTTTAATGTTGTCCAAATTAAGTTCTTAGCAATGCATATTACTAATCAAAAATTAAGTTTTAATATATTCACAGTAGGACATTTACAAAATATCTTCATATGATCTTTACTTAATATCCTAATGATTTTTGGCATAAAAGAAAAATCGATAATTTTGACCCATACAGTGTATTGTTGGCTATTGCTACAAATATACCCGTGCTACTTATGACTGGTTTTGTGGTCCAGGGTCACATATATTATAATGTTCAAATATATATAGCTAAAGGAATAGCTTGATTGTAATTTAGAAAATGTTCTGGTAGGTCTGTTCTTTTTTCTTTTGGATAAAATAGAAAAAAAGATACATTTACAAATCAACAGACATATTTAAAGCTATTTAAATCATGTTTAAAGAGAATTAAAATGTCTATTTATGCTTGAATTCTTTTAATATATTTACATTTTTATTTAATACTCTGAATATTGATTTCTTCATTTTATTTTTAAGTGTCACTCCTAGTCTTAAATAGCATATAGGCCTCAAAGCTAACAGACATTATCAGACAGCTAACAGACAAAACCAATTTTGATTTTATGGCATCTTTAAAAGACATAATATAGTATCATAATGCACGATAAATTTAAATGTGTATCTAGGAAATGGTTAGTATAATAGTGTATTGCAACAGTGGTTACAATTATTTATGAAAATACAATGCAAAATACAAAACAATATATAAAAGCATTATATACTGTATAGGCTTTAAGGAAACTGTTACCAAATTATGTAACTGTGTTGCTATGGATACTAACGTGGGCGGGGGATTCCCAGTTGCCTCACAGGTGAGTGTGATGTCATCTGCTGAAAAGGTGGTTACAGACTCCGGCTGAGCGGTGATCACTGGGGGGCTTTTCACTGTGGAGAGAGTACACAATCACACAGCAAACATTCAATTAACCAGTTACATTTCTGCGAGCTGTGAACTTAGCAAAGCAACACCCTAAAAATAGAAATAGACTTCTATTTTCACAGAGCTATAATAACTTCAGCTCATTTGTTAGTCACTTCAGATGTGGAAAGGGAAGGCATATTAGTCACAGTAGTTAAGCAGTCGTTCCGTTGACCTGCTGTAATCACATGACACCAATATTCAAAACAGCTTAATGATCCGCTGCGCCACTGACTTCAGTGAAGTTTCCCACTAAACCTCAGCTCTGTTCTGAAGCAAGTGCCCCTGCTTCTCACCAAAGCACACACTCAATTAGATCCAATCGGCATATGCGGGAAATGGAATATCATGCATGTCATTAGAAACTCCCAAGTGAAAAGAGGGAAATGAAGAGCGCAGTGTAAAGCATGCAGAGGTAATACATGGAGATTAGGTGAGCCTGAGATGTTCTCTAAGTGTCGGTTGTTTTACGGATGAGTGGCCTGTGAAAGCATCGAGAGCAGGAAGAAACTGAGACTAGAAGAATGAATAAGAGCAGTAGACAGCGAGAGCATAAAGCATTAGTGATGTAATCTACGGACAGAGTCACCGAGGCTATAAACAAGCGCTTATACTAGACAAATAACAACACTGATGTCTGGGAAAGGGTAGAGTGATCCTCACTATGCAGTTCAGACTTTTACATGGCTAACTATCTATCTGTCTGTCATCCTTCCATCCATCCATCCATCCATCTATCATCTGTACAAATCATATCTCTGTCCAGCCGTCTATTCATCATCCATCCATCCATCCGTCCGTCCGTCCGTCCGTCTGTCTGTATTTGTCTGTCTGTCTGTCTGTCTGTCTATCTATCTATCTATCTATCTATCTATCTATCTATCTATCCATCTATCCATCATCTGTACAAATCATAGCTATCTGTCCAGCTGCCAAAAATTAATGTAATCCCTGGTGATGGACCAGCTTATGGACCATTAACCATTATAACTGGGAGGCATGTCCATCTCTCGTGCCTTTACGGAAGATAATCATTCATATTAAAAGATTCATGCCTTAATGCACCCTTGAATTCTGCACAATCATTCCTACACTTCTGAATATAACAAACAAATTTCTCAGCTGATCGGTTTTGGCTGTTGCTGCAGGCTGTCTTCCGTTATTGGAATGAGTCCGGGAAATTTTAGTGGAGTAGAGTTAGTACATGCAAAAACATTATACATGCCAGAAATACTCACAATCTCTTATTTTGTCTGTCCATTGAGTCAGCAGGGGGGGGGGAAATAAATCTTTTTAGATTGATCTATCTATCTATCTATCTATCCATCTATCCATCATCTGTACAAATCATAGCTATCTGTCCAGCTGCCAAAAATTAATGTAATCCCTGGTGATGGACCAGCTTATGGACCATTAACCATTATAACTGGGAGGCATGTCCATCTCTCGTGCCTTTACGGAAGATAATCATTCATATTAAAAGATTCATGCCTTAATGCACCCTTGAATTCTGCACAATCATTCCTACACTTCTGAATATAACAAACAAATTTCTCAGCTGATCGGTTTTGGCTGTTGCTGCAGGCTGTCTTCCGTTATTGGAATGAGTCCGGGAAATTTTAGTGGAGTAGAGTTAGTACATGCAAAAACATTATACATGCCAGAAATACTCACAATCTCTTATTTTGTCTGTCCATTGAGTCAGCAGGGGGGGGGGAAATAAATCTTTTTAGATTGCAGTAATGCACACCAACAACATGCACTCATATGTATTTTACACACTTAGAAGCATGGACACACATACACATAAACTGCACCTATATATCTATCATTCTTAAATTAAGCTAATTACAACACCCTTCATCTAACTCAAACCTCTACAGACACCTTTGGCATTTTTAGATTTTAATTAAGACACTAATTGTCCCATTTCTGAACCATTTTTTCAAAAGAGGATTAGAAGTTTAACTGGATATGCAAGGACTTTTCCAGAAATTCGGCACACACAAGTATAGACACACATTTGTTCTTCAGTCATGGTGTGAACTTTCCTTCGACTTCAATTGTTTTCTGTTTGAATATTTTTTAAATACTTATATTTTCTATACCCTACCCCTCACAGAGACCATTTAGCATTTTTAGATTTTCATTAAGACATTATTAAATGTTTATTAGGCTGTTTTCCTTATGAGTTGGCTCAGGTTTTTACTATCCTCATGAGGACATTCAGCTCCAACAGTGAATGCAAAACCTGACCTTCACACACATCGATTATATTAAGCCTTTTCTTAATGAAACACATGTTTGTGATGGTATGATTACACTGTTTGGAGGCGAAACAAAGAAAACACATGATGCCAGCTCAGACACCTGGAATATAGATCAGCTGGCCAACAAGAGGAACACTAGAGATAACAAGATGCTGGCAAAGCAGAGCTAAAATAAACTCCCTATCTAGCCATTTTCCTTCCTTGAATTCAACCACCCTTTTGCAAGACTGCTTGGTCCTGCAGTCCCAACAACTTAATAAGAAAACAAACATGCTGAATGTCATGAGACAGGATCAGAGAATTAGCAGAGAGCATATGGGACAGACCCGGTCAGGCTGTGTTTTCTGGCTGAACATTTTAATGTGGGTGTGTTATCGATCTCATTGGTCACATCCATGTCCACATTTCCTGTTTAAAGGTCACTAATTGAAAGTCAAGAGAAAGCGTGACCTTTAATGTAGGTGTAACTCTTCACTGACATCTCATTCTGGTGCATTTCTGTTTTGTAGTTTTCATCTAGTTTTTCTCCTTTTCTTTGTGTGTGTGTGTGTGTGTGTGTGTGTGTGTGTGTGTGTGTGTGTGGGGAGGGGGGGGAGAGAGAGCTGCCATCGGATTGAGGGAAACACTTCAGAGAAAGTGTTAAAAGAGGGAAGATCCGCGCTCATCTGATCCGGTCATGGAGTTCTACACACACGCAGTGAACACGGACACAGAGTACCTGCTCTGGAAAACATGGGTGAGGAATTCTGGGATAGCAGCCGCTTCCTGCCGCACTTTGTCGTGTTGAGGAGATTTGAGTGACTTTAAATGTGTTCGGTTCTTCAGTTCAGATCATCCTGATTATGTGATTCGCAGCTTAAACTGACAATTACTTGCTTTAAAATAACAAATTATGTTTGGAGGGGCGGGAAAGAGAGATTCTCTGATACAATGATACATAGCTGCAATCTTAAATTGCAGATGTACAATAATAGCAACAAACCCAGTGCTGTTTATAGCTTTAGGAAGCTTGTAGCAGCTGCTATGTTTACAGTTCCTGCTCAGGTGCGCTTCAATCACTGCATGCTTGAATGTCCTTTCTAATCAGGCCTGTACTAGGCACTCGAATCAATAGTATAATCAATTTAGCAATTAAATTCAGTTAAAACAGCTCATTCTGCACTTTTTAACCATAACAATATAACATAGCAAACATTATAATATTGCAACAATCAATGCAAATAAAAAAAACACTCACCATGCACATGCATATTGAATGCAATGTAAAATCCTGTACTCACATTTGGATGGGATGTTGATGGTGGCATTCCCAGGCCTGGGAGCCACGGATAGCAGGAGGAGAGGGAGCAGGAGAGCAGCACATCGCCCCCTGCTGCCCACCTGCTGTTGTGACGTGGCAGGCATTGCACCTGCTGACAGGCACAAACACAACGGGCAGGAAAATCTGTGATTATCCCAGTCAGAGAAGAGCAATCTTCACTGTTTCTTCTTCCTGTAGGTTTCTCTCAGGTCCACACCCTCCCGATGCACTCTCACTGCAAGAGAGGAGAGAGAGAGTAAGGGAGGGAGGGGCAGGAGGGGGAGACCCACGTGTGTAGAGAAAAACCATTCAGACCTCCACATGGCCCAGGACAGAGGGAGCCAGAAAGACAAGAGACAAAGGACAGAGTGAGAGGTCGAGGAAGAGAGAGGGGTGGAGTTGGGGGCACAGTAAAAACCAGAGGTGCATATGTTGTGAGCATAAAGAAGAGCAAACCGTAAAGCATGGCATTAGCAACACCAAGGCCACAGATTAGATCTGGGAATGCATTAATTGATAAAAATGTACTGAACGTAATGCAATGTAAGTTGCTTTGGATAAAAGCATTTGCCAAATGCATAAATATAAATCTAATGACCAATTATCACTAAATATAATGTGGTGGTACCGTGGTAGAGTGATGGTATCAGACGGCAATACCATGGTGCACAATAATTATCAAATTAATGTCATTTACAGTACACTGTAATCCGCAGTACTTCAAAAAAGTCCAGCAACCATGGTAGTACTTGTGTACCAAGTGGTAGTACCAAGTGTTTGTACCACTTGTCTACTACTACTAATAATAATACAATAATAATAAATATTATTATTGTATCTGATATTGGCAGAGTAATATCAGAGCTTACCTTTTTACTCTATAAAAAGTTTTTTTATATTCTCTATAAAATTAAGTTATCAGTCATAACATTAAAATATTCTGTATCAGCTAAATCTTTATATCAAGGCACTTCACTATTTAAAGTGCCTTGATATTATTCCTAAAAGACTCAATACAGAGCAAGACATAATACATTCAATTGATATAAATACCAGACGTAATTTTATAGATAAAGTGACCATAAGTGCAAGCACATGGCAAATTGTTCTTATCGCAATCACAGATCCACAGTCATCTCATAAAGCAATTTACTCAATGCATTTCCTCAGCAGACCTTAATGGTCAGGGCCATTAATACATAATGATGAATGAAGGCCGGTGGAAGATGAATATAAAAAAAATGTCTGGGTCTTTTTGAGGAGCCTCTTTAAAAGAGAAGATAAGCATCTATTAGAGCAGCTATCGCTCACGCCACAGGCTTATGAGATACTCTGCAGGAGGAGTTCTCCATCTGTATTTGGGCCTGCCAAGTGACACCACAAAGACCTGCGTGTGTGGCTCCATTTATCAGCACTATCACTGGATCAAACAACAGTCCTTTTTCATTCACAAGCCTTGATCACACTACTGTACAAAAACAGTCATCTCATAAAGCAATTTACTCAATGCATTTCCTCAGCAGACCTTAATGGTCAGGGCCATTAATACATAATGATGAATGAAGGCCGGTGGAAGATGAATATAAAAAAAATGTCTGGGTCTTTTTGAGGAGCCTCTTTAAAAGAGAAGATAAGCATCTATTAGAGCAGCTATCGCTCACGCCACAGGCTTATGAGATACTCTGCAGGAGGAGTTCTCCATCTGTATTTGGGCCTGCCAAGTGACACCACAAAGACCTGCGTGTGTGGCTCCATTTATCAGCACTATCACTGGATCAAACAACAGTCCTTTTTCATTCACAAGCCTTGATCACACTACTGTACAAAAATGAGCTCCCCGAGGACGTGATAAAAACTTCAGACAGAGAATGAGGATGAAATGAAATAAGGAGCGAGAGGTGGATATTTTTGTTGGCTTGGGTGCAGCGTGTCTGACAGCAGCTGGCAGCTATGCATATCTTTAGCTGGGCACCGCTGTACCCTCCTGGTGCCAAACCCTGGAGCTGAGTGACCTTGGAGCGGAAGGAAAGGTTGAAGGAGGAGTAAAGCATAATCTTTCATTCTCCCACACCCTTGCACACACACAAAGATAACCCTGCTGAAAAGACTGACTCGGACTAGCATGAATTTCCAAGCTGTTTCATGTAGGTGAATTGGTGTAGCTGGTGGACAAGCATCACAGGGTTGGATCACAGTCCCCTGAGGCCCCCGAGAACAGGTCTCCACCCTCTTCCCTGCCACCTCTGCTGCCTCTAGTGGAAGACCCCATGCATAAAACATAAAATATATACTATTTTGTCAAAATAAATTAAAAATACAAAAAAGAAAAAGAATATGATTTCTGTCAGAATTCGGTCTAAAAGTGCGGTCACAAAAAAACAGACCCTCATCCATTATCAATAGTGTAGTGATGTATGAAACACAGAAGTCACTTTCAAACTAAAGCTACTGTATTTTCCTGAAAAAAAGTCACACCAGGTCAAAATGGTATTGTTGAGAGATGTTGTATCAGATGATAAAAAACATGACTTGTATTTCAACAATAATGGTAAGGTCAACATGGAAAGTCCTCAAGACCAGCTTGAACCTGTTGCGAAATTTGTGTGGGAAATCATTTAGATCACTAGATTCCACCCTCAAAAATGAACTATGCATAGCTAAACTTTAAATATTTAAGACTTGGTATATAGTAACCTTAAATATTTTTTTAATGTTCCGACTAATATCTGATAAATGGGTCAATCTAAAATTCCATACAATTTTGTCTAAATACATTAAAAATAAAACTCTAAAAACTAAAATCAGTCATTTTTAATGCTACAAGTGAACTGAGGTATCATCACAACATTATAATGTACAGTATGAAAAATGGATATAGATTTTGAGATTTGCTAAAAATTACATTTACATTTACTAGTGTTTTTAGATGATGACTAGATGATGGCAAAGTTCATCTAAATGCAAAAATAGTAGAAATAGGCGTGCACAATTAAATATCCAAATATGCGACCCTGGACCACAAAACCAGTCATGAGGGTAAATTTTTTTTAATTGAAATTTATACATAATCTGAAAGCTGAATAAATAAGCTTTGCATTGATGTATTGTTAGGATATGACAATATTTGGCCGAGATATGACTATTTGAAAATCTGAGGGTGCAAAAAATCAAAATATTGAGAAAATCACCTTTAAAGTTCTCCAAATTAAGTTCATAGGAACTTCCTTTCCTTATTGCTACAAATATACCCGTGTGACTTATGACTGGTTTTGTGGTCCAGGGTCACATATGGGCCCATATATATCTTATATCAACCAAAACCGGTAAATAAAAAATCTGATATGGAGGCAAAATCATGCATCCCTTATTATGGTCTTGCTGCTGACAATTCCTTTGTGGACCAAGAAAATTTAGCTGGTTAAACTATTCAAGAAGCCTGACACCAACACATCAGCATCCCAAATATAAAATGCTGGTCTTTTCAACCAAGAAAAAAAAAAAAGAAGTGATATTTAATGGAAATTTTTATAGCTACTGGAACATTTGAGTCAGCATTCGAGCCCACGTAATGTTACTTACAGGTCACATATGGAAGATCATACACAATGTTGGTGTAGCACCTCAATCCTGGATTACGTGGCTCATTAAACACAGTCACCTCGAATCGGCGCTGTGCCTGCACATCTCATCGCGAAGGCAAGAATTAGAGGAGAGAAGAAAGGAGGAGGAGCAGAAGGGGTGATAGAAGATGGCAGCCGAGACAGTAATCCCTTCCTCCATTAAATCACACAGCTGCCCAATCAATCAGTCACCTTTCCTCTCTTTTCGTTCTCCAGATTCAATGATATTAGTATGAACTGATCAGAGGGGGAGGGGAATTGCCAGCAGCCAATTAGATGCCAGGTTAGCCTCAGTTGGCCTTTAACAAATGCCATCAAATGAGGATGAATCGAGTCGGGCCTGAAGATTTCATTGGCACTGAGAGGTGCTGAGCGTAGTCCGATTAGCCCTGTCACATGGCCGCTCCGGAGGGAGCCAGCCGCCAATCAAACCGTGTCCAGTAACGTATGATCAAGCAGCAGCCACTAACTAGTTGACCAAGTCAAGCATGACTGGCTTGCAGGGAACAGAGGAAGAAAGGAGGGTGTGGAATCGAAAGGGAGTGTCACATATCCATGAAATGAGCTCTAGGCACTACTTGAACCCCAACATGCTGATAAGAACCTTGTCTATCACGGCTTACATGGCCTCTATTGCTGATGTGAGGGAGATTGACAATGGTCAGGGTCTCTCAGCGCCGCTGTGCAGCTGCTGGTGATAGTATCTAATCCTGTCACCTGCCTCATTACTGAAGGTCATAGACTAAACGTCGCTGATGCCCTGCAGTGGAACAGAACAGATGTGCATGCAAAAAAATTAAAAATAAACAATAATAAACATAGCATGCTTTCAGCGCCGCAGAGAATTGATGCACCATTCCACATAAACAAACTCTGTAATGTCAACCCTGAAGCAACTGAAAAACAACCAATTATCTTTGCGAAATGGAGCATGTCACTTCACTCATAGCATATACTGCTTGAATTTCAGTGGAAACGTGAATCATATCATGACAGAAAGTTGATGTAATCACAGCAAAGGCTGTGTTGATCATAGCGTTTATTTCTTCTAAATGCAAGAACTTTGGAACGAGACAAGGATGGTTTTTATTTAAGTACATTGATAGTGAGAAAGTTGTATATTTAGAAGGCTATATAAGGAGGTTAATATAATCTTCAGGGGACCAACTTTGCTGAATACTGTATTTCAGGAGCTGAGAGCTGTAAACTAAACAACTTCTTTGTCTGGTATCCTTATTCCTGGATTATGGTAGAATTGTAGAAGTGTAAATCCTGCCCTTATTTGATCCTGAGGTTATCCGATCATACTGTAAATGGGCCTTTAATTCTACTGTTATACTGATGGATATGATGGTTCTATTATGAATAAATTGTCTGTATTTCTAACATTGTTGAAGCCAAAGTCTCTAGGATGAAGTCATACAATTTATGTTTTTGAACTATTGAATAATTGGCCATTCATTCTTTACTCAAGAGTGTGTTTAGGCATTGTTCAGGTCAAATTAAAACAAAATAAATGTATTTATTTATTTAATTCTTATTTTTGTCTTGTCTAAATCTCTTCAGTTATTTTCAAAAATAATTAGTGGTCTCAATATATTTGGACAGTTAATGC